CAGAATGCCTGACCAAGTCCCCCAAACACACACACATCACCCCGCTTCTCTTCCAGCTTCATTGGCTGCCAGTCAACTTCAGGGTTCATTTCAAGATCCTGGTTCTGGTCTATAGGGCCTTACATGGACAAGCACCATCTTACATTGGTGATCTTCTCCATCCCTACACCCCCAGCAGATCCCTGAGGTCCAGTAACCAGTATTTTTTAAGGAGGCGAGTGACTCAGAGCTCTAACATGTCATAACAGCAGGTGAGTGGTTGAGCCAGGTGGAGGTGCGGCCGACACTCAGCAGGAGTAACGGCACAGACAACATCACCTGCAGCTCTACAGCAATCAGCCGTGGTGGATTCTAAATCAATGTGCAGCAGCAGTTTTAACCTGAAGATGGAGATGGAATTACGGCTTTGGGCTAAAATATTATATTTGTAGTAAGTTGCACTAAACTGGCAAAATAATGATTACACGTGTCTACAACACCATTAGACACAAGAATGTAGGGGTTACTCGCACTTTAAAAAACTCTCCAATGTTATTGAACTGAAACAATTAAGAAGAGTGGGAGAATATTCCTTCACAGCGATGTGAGGAAATCAGTACCAGATGTTGCTTCTAAGAATGGTAGAAGTAGAAGTTACTTTTCCACACAATGCTAGGTTGGTTTACATGGATTTTCCCCTTAATAAATGAAACCAACAATACTTTCCCCATAAGCACACACTTTATTCTACATGTGATATTAGAGGTGTGTGACCCACCCAGTCTAAAACTATCAGTTTTTATAAACATGCAGATGATTCATTATGATCACTAGCTGCGTGAAATCGATCCCTGTAGCTGTTGGGTTCTAAAAGCTGATTTCTACTTTTCCTTCTGAACCACAAAAAATTAAGCTAAACTGATCTGATAGGGTTGCACAGCATAACTAAAATGTATCCACACGAAATCCTACAACTTCACCTCCAGATATTAAAGATTTATTGTGCCATTTGGAGGAGAGATAATGGTCTCCACAGGCAGCGCAGACGACATGCAGAGACTTTCACAGTTCCAGTCTCAATGCATGTGGAAATGGTGTAAGAGTCCATGTCCTTATCACTACTATGGACCCGGTACATCCACAGCTCATCCCTGCTGTAGTTCATCTGAGAACGCACAAAGAACGGTGCCTCTGCTGCCTTTGAAACCTGCACTTTGAAGATGTATTTCAGAACTGGACAGCTCCGTCGAGAGACAGGAGCATTGCAATCCATCTTCACTTTCTAAGTGAGGGCAATAAAAGTGAGACAAAGTGAGAACAGTGAGCGTTGGGAGACTCACTCTCTCATCCTGCCTGTGGCAATGCAACATCACAACATCTCCATATGTTAATGCCTTGATTTACATTCTGTTACAGGATGCACAAAAACACACAAAAAGCAGTTAGGCCTTTGGGAGCACTGGGGTTCTTCTCTGTGGAGTCGGTGAAAAGGAAAACAAGCAAAGCAGAATCTGCAGTGAGTGAGCTGCTGCTCGACCTTCAGTAAAAACTCAAAAGTCATGCTTGTGCAGGATTATGTGACAAAGTCAGATCTCTTAGTTTATTTGTAGATGCTTGTCTCTCAGGTATATTTTATCATTTTTGATGCAATTTGTAAAAAGTTTTAGTAGTAATTTAAGTTTTTGTTTTCTGCCCCCCTATAAACTGTCGGTCTGCAGATGAAAAACCACCTGAGTGCACTTGCCTCAGCACTTTAAAACTCTGCGGCTGACGAAGCTTATCTGCAGCATCCATTCCTCCTGGTGCAAAGGTTATCCCTGACCTTGGTGTAATTCAGTCCAGTTGCACCCAGCCAAAAACCTGAATGTAAGAAAATCCCTTTTCCTTCTTTATGAGTCTTCAATATTTAAATACTTTCCAGACAAAAAAAGACCTCCGAGAAGGAGGAGAGGGCCACAGTGGGATGCTTTTATTCAGGTAATGATATTCCTCAGTGTTCTTCGTCACTTTTCACCTTGTTTTGTCTAATTTACTGAATTTTCTAATTTAACTTAATTATAATAGCTTTTTTAATTATTCCAAGAGTTTTGAACAGAAGCTTATTAGAATTATCTGTTCTAATAAGGTGTCAGTAATGATATGTGTTTAAATAAATCCTTTCATACTTTTTCCAACAGGAAAACTAAATTACCTTCTGCATTTTCTAGCTATTTCTCAAATAGAGTAAATAATGGGAGAAACTGCTCTGTATATTATCAGAAAATTACTCTACTAAAGCAGGGAGTGCATTAAAATAATACTGATCGCTTATTTAAACACACTTGTGGTTAAAATAAGACATTTTAGTTTACTCTGACTCTGAAATGATGGGAGGCTATTTGTATTATTAGTACCATTCTTTAGTAGAACCTCCATTCATTTGTTGTAAATATTTCTTTGGGAAAAAAGCTAAAATGCTCCTTTCCTGTAATCAAATTTCATATAAACCTTACTCATGACATTGAAACTACAAGGGGCCACTTAAGAATCGGCTCACATCCAAGACTCAGAGATGGTTTCCTCATCCTAACCAACAAGGTGCAATAAAACACAAGGACTGTACCATTAGGAAATAAAGGAAAGTCTACCAACAGACTGTACCACTGCACTGGGATACATTCATTTACAACCTAATTATCTAGATCATAAATAACAGCAGGGTCTTTTCACACCTGCTGTTTAGTTGGTTTGATCAAAGTTCTTGGTTGTTGTCACTCTTGGTGCAGATGTAAACAGAAAGTACAGCAGGATGCAGACCAATGCAACCTCAGTGACACCCTCTGGAGTAGGTGGTCCTGAGCGTGTTGCCCCGCCCCCAGTGTTGTCACATGTATTGTACAGACACATTTTGTTCTTGCAGTTTTCTTCTGTGTGAAAAGAAACTGAACCACACATGCAACCAGCAACTAGTTAACAAAGCCCTAACTGATAAGGCTCAACGGCTAAGCAAAAACCTGGAGAGTAACACCAAAACAAACAGGCATCCCTCTAGCAGCTGGTTCCAGTAGGGAGCCAGACTCCTCTGATTCCGGTCGGCTCATGGGTCCCCAGAACAATGAAAACATGAATGCAGGTCAACAGGGCTAAAAGAGCTATTTTCTATTTGCTTTGCCTTGTATCGCACATATGTACTTATATTTAAATGAAAAGTAATGAACTATGTTTTGACCACGCCAGTCACGTACTTTGAGGTTTATCAGCTTGTAAAAGTTTGTAATTTGCACAAATCAGATTGGTACGTCGCATATATGACATCACTACATAATCTCCTCTCCCCTAGCATAGCTGCTACTTACCACATGGCCAGATTTATGGTGGTTCTTTCCTCCTGAGGGAAGGATTTGAAGTTCAGCCATTTTCCCTGTTTTTCTCCGTGTCTTGTTCAAAGATGTGCGTTTGCAGTCCTGGACTTATTTTCACACAAAACCTAAAATAACTCTTTGCCCCGTTCGAAAATACATGTTTGCTTGGTATCAAAATGTGTCTTTGAGATTCACGGACATCCTATGTGAAATCCATGGTACATAACAAGTGGAATTAGAAAATAGCATTTTAGCCCCGTTGACTTCGATTCTTTTTTTTTTTTGTGCTTCCGGGGACTCGCAATCCCGAAGTAAATGGATGTGACTTAGGCTCCCTATAAGGTTTGAAGCTCCGCCTTCGCCATTTAAATCAATTTGATCTTTTTCTATAAAAATAAAGTTCCTCATAGGACCATAGGTGATCTACGTTCCAACTCTCACCTATGGTCAAGAGCTTTGGGTAGTGACCAAAAGAACAAGACCGCGGAAACAAGCAGCTGAAATGAGTTTTCTTCGCAGGGCGGCTGGGCCCTCCCTTATCCGTGAGCGGCTCGGAGTAGTCCCGCTGCTCCTCCACATCTGATTAGGAAGCCTCCTGGATGCCTCCCTGGTGAGGTTTTCTGGGCATGTCCAACCGGGAGGAGGCCTAAAGTGAGACCCAGGACATTCTCCCGGAAGAGTTAGCCCAAGTGGCTGGGGAGAGGGATGTCTGGGCCTCTTGAATTGGGCTGCTGCCCCCGCAACCCAACTCCGGATAAGCGGAATAAAATGGATGGAATAAAGTTGCTCCTAAAATAACTTTCAGTTATTGGTTGATGCTGATGCACATATAGCTTACCTTGCAGCTGTTTGTTGAAAATTCATTTTTCTAATATTTTTTGTTGTAATTAGTTATTTGATGCTTTGAAACACTCAGCTAGAGAACAGCTATGCTAACTTGTTTTTGCTTCCAAGTTTAAATGCATTAAATGTGACAAAATTGTTTTTTACTGATAAAAAAAGATGCACCAATGACCCCTTTAACATTCAGTTTTAAATATAGCTACTTCCCTTGGTTGAATAAAGGTCTGTTATTTAAACATAAAAATACAGTAGATGTTGTTTTTTCTCCTGTTTTCTTATGCGGACTAATGAGTGAGACCCCATTATGCGCCTGGGCCTACACTTTAGAATGATGAAAGCTCTGCTCCCTCCTCTGATCCACTTTAAAAGCATGAAGACTTGTTTATGCTGACTGCTCATGGCTGAAAGTTTGGTCAGCTAATCATTTACACAGAGCTGAACTAAAGTGTGGAGCAGCAGCTGGTCAGCCAAGATGATAATCAGAGGCTGAGGCGCCATCAGTTTGCTTCCTTTTTGTTACAAAACACACACTCACGCACGCGCTTCTATTTAAGGCTGGGTAGAGACAGAAATAGTATTTTCAAACGACTCTCTACTCAGCAGGGAAATAAACAGCAAACTGAAAAGGTCTCTGCTGCTGGTATGTAAAGCTGAGAGGAGCTCAGTGAGAATGAGTCACATTTTGTTCGGCTGCACAGAGGTCATCAAGCTGCATGGGAGTACCAATCGTTTCTATTTCTGGTTTTGTTATAAAAGTGTAGTAAGTGCTGCTGCATGCATACTGCATCACCATGCAGCTTCAGCTCTTTGACAGGTTGCAGTAGATTTCTGCACAGCAAACAGTTTCCACAGTTTTTTTTCATCAATTTATTCAATGTACATTAATACAGTTTTTTCATAGCATCATGCAGGTAAGAAAAATGCTTCTATGTGAATGAAAAGTTCAAGGCTAAGTTTCCTGAAAAACACCTTTAAGGTCAGCTCTCCCTCCGTTTACTCAGAAAACAGCCTTTGTGGGAACCGTCCTGGTACAGGAGAGGATGGTGGGACTGTAAGGACAAGTACAAAAACGCATTCTAACACAAAAACCTGCTGGAACTCAGCATCTATGGAACACATTTAGCAGAACTTTATCACCTCTTCAGGATTTTGTTGATACAGCCGTCAAAATGATGAATATTAGTAACAATAACAGAATAATGAGAATTCACAGACATATATGAGTAACAGGCTAATTAATTTCCCTTTTGCCCTCCCAACCCCCTTCATAAGCCCCAGACCTTCAACAGGTATGAATTTGTTTACATGCAAATGTCACACCAGCTCCACCGAGCTTTCGCCTCGGCCCACCATCACAGCACGAGGCGACAGAGCGGAATGACGCTCACTAGGACTTCTCGTCACGCTTCTTCTTCTGGAACCTCCTGAACTGGGACTGGATGATGGCCGCCGCCTTTTCGGTCTCTGGGGCGTCCATGTCGATGTCAAAGTCTTCTGGGACGTCCGTCTTGGACTCATCTGGGGACAAAAAGTAAGGAGGAATTGCATGGTTAGGTGGTTGAAGCACTTCTATAAAAAGTGCATAAGAAAAAAGCAACCCAAAAAGATTTTGTTACTATTTCTTTATATGAAAAATGTTTTCATTCAAATTCTGTTCGAGTTGCCACTAGATCAACACCTTCACATGAGCTACAACCTGGAAAAGAAGGAGATGCAACACAAATAAGAGCATAACATGTCCTCTGGTGTCATAAGGCCCATAAAAAGTGCTTATAGAGAAAGTGTGTTGTGTTTTTTCTTAGGTCAAAGTGTAAAACACATACTGATTTCCAGTTTTTAATCTCCTCTTGAGCTCAGCCTTATCTGACAAAGACGCGATTGTAATCCTTGCAAAAACTGATCCTACTGGTTTTAGAGCGCATTGGGAAAGATGAGCCTGATTTTCTTTGGGTCAGTGATGTAACACACAGTTTCTCTCCAACCTTTATGTAATAAACGACTGGATCATCACTCATTCAAATGTTGACTTAGCTGGTATACAGTTTAGGATTTCACTGTCATTCAATACAGACACATCATGTGAGGCTATGAAAGGTTTTGCGAACTTTAGATGACTGAACAAACTCAAACATTTCTAATGCTCCGTATATCAGATTAGCTCACACATCATGTTCAGTAATCACACACTGTTAGGCCGAGTTACAAACCCATCGTGTTTTTGTCTACGTAGGCTGGAAAACACATTAATGAGATAAAACCAGATATGGATTTACACAGGAGCATTCTGTGTTGGTAAAACAGTAAAGCGCTGTAAAAAGATGTTTTCAAATGATTACATTCATTAAGAGCAAACATCTATCAAAACATCAGTTACAGAAACTAAATCACTGAGAGGAAAAGAGCTAAAAATGTTAACATCACATTTCATTGTTATAAACAGAAAAAGTTATTAGACTGATACTGAACTGTTTTGGTAGTTATTTGCAGCTCAGATGCTTGCTGCTGAGAAACAAACATGTCATATTACCACGAGCCATTAAAGCTAATATTTACTCAGGATTATTCCACTGTGACTCTGTCAGCGACACCTTTAAGAAACTGCCAACAAACACTTCCAATCCTGCAAAAAACAGAACATGAATTAAACATTTGGTTCCAATTTTGATTAGGGATGCACTAATCAGGTATTTTGCTGCCGATCACCGATACCGATATCAAAGAATGCTGATCACCGATACTGATCACCGATACCAATCACGTGGATTGGCCAGAAATTTTCTACAACATTATGAGTGCTACAAACTACATAATCTGGGAATAAAGGAAATGTAACCTAACCTAAAATGGTCTGTATTAGGGTTGTCACGGTGTGAAAATTTAACCTCACGGTTATTGTGACCAAAATTACCACGGTTTTTGGTATTATCGCAGTATTTTTTTTAAACGTGCTACATTTTCACACAATTAAATGTATGTCAGGAAATATTGTCCTCAGTTTGTGTCTAAATTTTGCCTAAAATGTGTTATTTTGTAATTATGTTGTTTATTTGTTTACATGTTTTCCCTTTAGTCTTTAAAATACCAATATTTGCCCATAACTTCTTATTTCATGTCTGTTTGATGTCATCATTTTAAAAATATTAGGTCAGATGATACTCAGTACTCAAGTAGCCTTCTAATCAGATACTTTTTTTTTACCCTTATTTGAGTAATAAACCCTATATCAGGAAAATATTGTCCTCGGTTTGTGTCCTTCCAGTGAGCTTTGCAGATGTGGGAAAATGTCATCAGGCAGTAATCATTGTTACATTCATAATTATTCTCGGAGAGAGACCAACTCTTATCTGCCCCTGGGAGCCCCGTAGTGCATAGCGTCATTTCAACATGGGGGTGTCCATGATGCGGTTTATATGCAGGTAGCGGCGCTGCGGCTGCTTTATATAGCGACTCGTTGCATTCTCCCTCAACCCAAATCCTCGGATCACGCATTTTAGCTAAAACGCTAACGTTAACTTGCCTTGACTGTAGAGTTGTGGGTGATGGTCACACAGATGTGTCATGAGATTTGAAGCAATCCTGTCTTTCACAGACACTTTTTCTGCACGTGCTGCAACCAGGATAGCCGTCTTCTATTTATAAACTGTCCCTCGGCATTCTTCAAATTTCCAAAAGATGCCCGTACTTCCGACTTTGTCTTCTTTGAGGGATAAAAAATGTCCTGAACACTGCCGTCTCGTCCTTTGGCCATTATTTCAGCTTTAGCTTCAAGAAAGTTTTGGTTGTAAACAAAGCGCGCATGTGCCGCCGGCAACTTCAGCAGATGATACGGTGGCTGGTAAGGGTCAACGCGCCAACACCGCAGCCACGGTAAACCCACCGAGATAATAATAGTTTTTTTAAAAACAAGACGTTATTATTATTGTCAACTTTTTTTACCGGGGTTTACCGCTACACCGGTTACCGTGACAACCCTACCTGATCGGTCTGCTTTGATCTATTTTGAAAACTCCGATCAAAACCGATAGGGGCGCTATCGACCGATTGGAATCAAATGCCGATCCATCGGTGCATCCCTAATTTTGACGGCTTTCTGTGACCAGGCTGGGTCTAATCAGTAGAGCAGCACGTAACAGATGAGTAGCAAAGGAGAGAGGAGACTCGTGTATGGACTGTGCAGCTAATCCAAGGGTTCCCCTGAGGCTGAGAGGGTGAGCTTGAGTACCTCTCCTGCTGCTCAAGACGGAAACAGTAACTGCTGTGTCAAGCCCAGCTTTGAGTTTGGCATTAACTGATATTGAATTTTCCAACGCACTAATGTCTGCTCATCCAGTAACATGAGTTACTGAGTCGTGCTCTCTGCTGCCAGCGTTAGACGTGGTCTTAATACAGCGTCTTGCTGGTCAGACTCAAGAGGAAATGCAGAAGATGATGGATTGGTCTGCAAAATCATTAAACACATAGTGATCATTTATGAAAACGTGAGCATCCTTTAGATCTTGATTAGCAGTCTAAACATTGAACTTTGATAGAAGTTAGACAACATAGTTTATTTATAAATTACTTTTTTTACAATTTTGTAAAAAAAAATTTAAAAGGTAAAGAATACCTACATATAAATATGCATATACTATGTGTATACTCCTGGGTTGAAACTTCTTGTTTCCCATGAGTGTCTATTAAAGGGTAAATGACTCTTGATGCTGGTCAGAGGCATGTGTTTAGAAATGAACCATTAACAGTTAAACAATATTGAAGTTATGTGATCATCGTGCCTTAAAGTGTTGGGCAAATCCAATTTGATGAGGGTAAATAGCTGATAATTTAAAAGAAAACTATTTTGAGGAAAAATTATTCCATATATTAAGAAAGCATGTTTCTGTATAGCATTGATGACACACTTACTGTTATTTATGTCAGCAGCTTTTGCTGCACACACTTATATGATCGCTACAAACTATTTAAGTTGATTCATTCATTCAGACATTCATCTAAAGGCCGCCATCTTGCTGAGAACTTCAGTTCAGAGAAAGATTTTTATCTTCCTTTACAGGACTGGAAGCAGAGGCTGAATGTGACAGTGATGAATGGTTCTCAGTTCACGAATCTGTCTTCTCAACACACACACACACACACACACACACACACACACACACGGTGGATTATCAAGCCTATTACTTGTGGCAGCACTTTCAGTGTCCCTGTCTTCTACAAATGGGTGTGTGTTATCAGCTGGGAGGATGGATCGTCTTCACTGAGCTCTCAGTGAGTAAAAGAAGGAATTCTTCTGTGTAATTTATGCTGAAATAAAAACTCTAGAGTATGTTGTTGTTTTGTTTGTAACTTATGAGATAGGATCCATAAAAGACACACTAAAGTCCATCCATGGTTGAGTGTCTTTTAAAGATGACACTCTTACAGCCAGTGAAAGCTGGTGTGTCTTTTTGGTTTTATTGTTCAAATCAGTTGAAGAAGAAAAATAAGAAAAACCCAGACACTGTGATGAGAACAAAAATTTTAATGGGAAAAAAATTATGTTCGTTCAGCTGATTTATTTTTTACTTTGCTGCAATCTTTTATTTTTTTCTGCAGATGAAAAGTCAGTACTCTGTGTATTTGTGTTTTCATGTGTGGCCGTGCACATGTGTGTGTGTGTGTTTGTGTGTGAAGGAACATCTCCACAACATACTTTTATGTTTTAGGATTGTCCATGAAGGCAGACAACCAGCTACTAAAGTAAAAAGGCAAGAAAGAAAGGAGAACCACGTAAAATGGCTTCTCAAACCACCACAACCATGACAAACATCCATCCAAACTCTGACTGTAACATAGTCTGTGGATCAAGAATCAGTAGCCAATTGAAGTGACCAGAACCACCAAGAGGACATTGTCTAATGATGATGAGTCATCATTAAACCTGAAACTAATGATGTGTTAATCCAGTGAGAGAATCACCCCAGAATGAGCTCTTTCAGCTGTAATGTGTCTACTCACAAGACGAACAAACTACTCATCAGACTCTCATTACTGAGATGTCAAAGGAAAATTCATTGCCTTTCATTAAAAAGAGAAGAGATTGATGCTACATAACTACAGTAGGGTTGTCACGGTATGAAAATTTAACCTCACGGTTATTGTGACCAAAATTATCACGGTTTTCGGTATTATCGCGGTATTTTTTAAACGGTGTTGCATATGTTCAGAAAGCAATGATAGTCCTGTTCTACACAAACTGAAATAGTTTTGAAAAGGTTTAACAGTGTTTATTAAACCTAAAATAACACAAAGCCTTAGCAAAAGTGCAACTTTTCACAAGTAAAGGAACAAATAGCTTCTTTTTCTGGAACGTGTTACAGTAGTCAGTGCAGGTTTAAATTATACAAATCCAAACATTCAAAACATAAACAATATGTAAACAAATCAAAGAAACACCACTTGTTTTCTCATATACTTGTTTTCTTCATTATCAAAATGAAAATCTAAAACTCCAGTCCACACTTGACTTGAGCACTGTACAAGTC